GGAACGAAATGGATTATCTTGGATTTGTTGCAGGAGCTGATGCCAGTGCTTAGGTGATTTGTACATTTTCAGAGCCGTCTCAGTCGTAAAGTTTTCTTCTTGATTGTCTGAAAACAACGTCAATCCCGTTTTTTTCTTGCTTTTCGGAGCTGTTAACCTTGCGTAATGCCTCGGGTCTACTTCTATTTGAGTGGCAAGAGTGTCCCATTGACTGCGGTTGGTGGACCTGACTCTAGAGTTGGAACGAAATGGATCATTTTGGATTTGCTGCAGGAGCTGATGAATCTTTACATGTTTCAAAGCCCTGTTTCGAGGTTCTGAAGCCACTTTCACCGCGATTGCTCTTCGTGGAACGCACTGTCTTTCTGTGTTTGCATGGCCTAAGTTGTTTTGACCAAGTTTCAATCCTCTGTCTAGAGAAGCCTTGCAGGAGAAACACATCGAGTGCATCATTGAGACATCGACGCAAGGCACTTCGCCTCTGCTCTCGCCTCGCCTGGCCCGGCTACCGCAGCTGCCACAGGTTTTGCAGCTATGGACAGGAGGCAGTCCGCGACTCTTGGTCTACAGTTTGCGAGCTCTGCACCATTTGCTTGAAAGCCAAAAAGGCGAAGACGCTGAACACTTGGATGCAGAGAAGACTGAGACGATCATGGAAAAAGTCTACCACATCCTGGCCCGGGAAGTGCCGCAAGTGGCAAGCGAGGTATTTCTGGCTAGCAGAGATGAGGCTGAGTGGCGCCAGACATGGCTGTACTTGATCCTGTTGGCCCAGCTCCGTGTACCTTGCAACCGTGAGATGAAACTCCCAGTGGGGTCTCATGAACACTCGCTGGACCTATTGCTGGGCCGCTTGAATGTTTATATCAGCAAGCCAGAAACAGCAATCAAAGATGTGCCAAATGCTTTCTACATCTCTCACATGAAGATGGTTGAAAAATTTGTGCGAGAAAAATACAGTTCAGATTGCCGCGTGCCGCTGTTCCTGGGAGGCGAAACTGCTGGAATCAGTGCCGAAGACCTTCTGGAGCAGTTGGTGGAGCAACGAATTATTGTGCAAGCCTGCATGCGCCCAGGGCAGCGTTGGGGCGACGTGATGAAGCCGCTGCTCCATGGAACCCGCGCAGAGACCCTTGCGGTCGTCCTGGACCAGGGATGTCCCCTCGCCACCTTTCCAAAGATCACCTCGGCAACGACAGAACGAGAGAAGATCCGTCTTCCACTCCCCACAAACTTGCACCCGAACAATCTTGCAGCTGCTATGCAACTGCTAAGCAGCAACAGACTGTACAGACCAGCGCCCAAATCGAACAGTGCCGACCTGTTTATCAAGCAGTCGAACCTCATCATAGAGCTGCAAGACAAGAGCGGAGTGTCAGTTGGGGTCTCCTTCTTAGACGCTTGTCAGGAGGTGGAAAAATGCATTCAGGAGGGGCCTGTGCTATGGGTGCTAGTTGCACTTAAGCTGACGGATTCGCTACTTCGCTGTGTCGGGACGGAGAAAGCCCTGTTGCTCACGCCTGGTGTCTACCAAGAGGAAAAGTCTGCTGAGGGTGGGCTGCTGTACCGTCCCGCTGGGAAGAGTAAAAAGTGGCAAAAACGCATATTGCGTGGAACATGGTCCGATCTTGGCTCAGCAAGTGGGGAGGCCAAGGACACCCGCCGACTGGAAGTGCGAGAAGGCTTGGAGCTGGTGATCCCGCATCCGGAGCACGTGAAGGCATTCCTCGAAGACGACTTTGAGATTGTGAAGAAGT